AGTAGGACTCTAATGGATGTATATTTAACAACCGGTGAAAAGATTTCAGTGTAATCTATTCCTTCCCTTCGGTTAAAGCCTTTAGCTAGTAGTTTTGCCTTAAATCTTTTATCACTAGCTTTAGTCTCACCCTCTTTAATTTTATAAACCCATTTACAATCAATCAATTTACAATCTTTGGGTTTTTCAACTAGAGTCCAGGTCTCATTTTTAAAGAGTGAATTCATTTCATCTTTCATCGCAGCAATCCACTTAGGGGATTCTTTGGAAGATATAGCCTCTTCATAAGAAGCTGGTTCTATGTCAAACTGATTAGATTCAGTTTGATCAGATGCAAAATCAGCATGTTGATACCTGGGAGGAGGTCTTATTTCCCTCCTTTCTATGTCCCTAGCAAGCTGGTAGCCCTGCAGATCATGTGCAGGCTCTAGATGTTATTCATCTTCAATTATTTCAACATCAGAGTCATTTTGGGGTACTACCTGATGTGGCTCCACCTCAAACTGAGCCTGATCATCAGTGTTGATTAATGTCAATGATAATGAAGTCATCTTTTCCCAATTTTTCACCTGATTTGTCACTAAGACAAGGGAAATCATCTTCATTAAAGATAATAGATCTGCTTGTTATCACCTTATAACCCCTCACATCTCTTAGCCACAATCTATAGCCTTTAACACCTTCTTCATATCCTAAGAACACACCCTTCAATGATCTAGGGTCCAATTTTGACTCAGTATGATGTGCATAGGCTGCACATCCAAAAGTTCTTAGATAAGAATAATCTGGCATTAAACCAAACCAGATTTTTCGGGAATTCTGTTATTTAGAGAGCTGGAAGGGCATCTATTTATAAGATAACATGCTGTTTTTACAACTTCACCCCAGAAAAATTTTTGGAAGGCCAGAACTGATTAGCATACATCTGGTCCTTTCAAGAATTGTCCTATTAAGCCTCTCGACAACTCCATTTTATTGTGGAGTATAGCTCACAATTTTATGTCTCATTATCCCTTGTTTACTGCAATATTGGTCAAATTCGGTATTGCAGAATTCAAAGCCATTATCAGTTCTTAAGATTTTTATCTTCTTACCAGTCTGATTTTCAATTAGTACACTCCATTCTTTGAAAATTGCAAAAGTACCAGATTTAGATTTTAGTAAGAAAATTCACGTCTTTCTTGAATAGTCATCGGTTGTAAGAAGATAATATCTGTAACCAGATACAGTAGAAACAGGTGCAGGTCCACATAAATCAGAATGTATGTATTCAAGGACATCTTGGGATTGGTGCAGCCCTGCCTTAAAAGGCAGTCTGACTTGTTTTTCCATGATACAGTGTTCACAAAAAGTTAATTTTTGAACACTATCTTTCCCAAATGCCCCTTGACATGATAGTGTTTTTAAACCTTTTTCACTTAAGTGGCCAAGTCTTTTATGCCACAGTTATGATTTATCGGGATGTGTGACAAAATTCATAGAAATTTTTGGTGAAATTATTTCAGCACCTATTACATAGATTCCATTAAGTTTAGGAGAACTGACAATGAGTTCTTGATTTCTTGTTATATTTGTAAAGCCATTTTTAATACCAATTTGATAATTTTCATCATCAAAAACTCCTAGGGAAATGAGATTCTTTCTAAGTGCTGGTACATATCTTATGTTTTTTAGTAACATGTGATGACCATTATTAAATTTCAACAGCACATTTTCAATTCCCTTAACTTGGCATGACTCATCATTTCCAAGTTTTACAAATCCTCCATCCAGACTACAAAAGTCTAAAATGTAGCTAATATTGGGTGTCATATGAAAGGAACATCCTGAATCTAGGACCCAGTCCTGATCAGTATTTTCAGATAGAGATGCATAGGCTACTCCAATATTAATTCCTACTTCTTTATAATTAGCAGCAGCAGCTAAAGAAGCATTTTCAGTATTAGACCCATTATTTTGGTCATTTGCCTTTTTAAAACAGTCTTTAATAAAGTGGCCTGTCTTTCCACAGTAAAAATATTTTCTGTTATTGTTGCTGTTTAGTTTTCCTTTGATTGGTTTCTTGCCTTTTCCTTTTGTGTTATTCCATTGCCTTTTGTTAAAAAGTTTATTCTTGTTAAAATTGGAATGACTGAAGTTACTTACTCCTTTAGCATATGGTTTTTGATTTGATGACATACCCTCGACATGGTACACTTCTTTGTGTTCAGATTTTAATTCAAGTTCTTTATGCAGAAGAGAACTGTGAATTATTTCAATAGTGAGATCACTCCTACCATACTCTAGAGCATTTCTAATATTTTTATATTTATCTCCTAGAGCATTAAGTAGGTCAACTACCTTCTCTTCATCAGAAATTTTTTCATCACAATTTGCTAAGTCTTGTGTGATCCTATTAAACCTATCCATATTATCTCCCGTATAAAGATTTGGATCAAACTTAAAACCAAAAAACTGTCTCCAAAGAAAATATTTATTTGGCACAGTCTTTGTAAGGTAGTGTTTTTCTAAGGCAGTCCATAATTCTTCAGCAGTTTTAGTTTCTCCTACTTTCCTAATCACAGTATCAGACAGATGTAGGAACAAAGTGCTCCAGGCTAATTCATCTTGTTCAGTTTTCCTAGCTTCAGATAAGGTTTCTGGCTAAGATTCATCAATAGCCTTAGCACATTATAACTGTAACAACAATGCTTTAGTTTTCTGACGCCAGAGACTAAAGTCTCATTTGCCATCCCACATTTGGACATCTACCTTAGAATTCATATTGTGCAGGAGTGTGAAATTGTTCGCAAGTTATGATAAAGCAGATATATCTCAATGATTATTCAGTCAACAGTATGTCACAAAGTTTACTGACCTATTATTCCAATTTCAGATTATATATAAAATAGTGCTTAAGTGTGATGTGTACAGGAGTATATCAACCAAAATTAAACACATTTAATTATGCATATCACTAAGCATGCAATCAAATTTAATCACAGAACTTACACACAGTAAGCTATCAAGACTGTAAACACAATGTGTGTACTTTTGAGGCAATTATACTTTGGCAGGTTAGCACCTGAGAGGATCAAATTGTGTATTAGTACAGTTCACATAGAATGTACAACAATTTATCAATTGAAATATGATTTTGATTTTATTATCAACTCACATCGAGATATTTAAGAAAACAGTTTTGAAGATTACAGGTTTCTTGAACCGAAGCCCTAGTCCCCAAAGTTTCTAGAATTCTCTTAGGGAACCCTAGACAGAGGTAGAGATAGGGGAGGTTCAATGAGACCTTATGTTTGAAAAACAAATAATCTCACATAAACTGCAGGTACATAAAATACTAAAAAACGTCTGATTCTTATACAAGAGCAGTCTCCTGACTACTGCAGGTGCCACCACACACAAACAAAAACCAACACGGCAGTAATCAGTAGGTATTTATAGAAAACTTCTATTTATTTCATTACCAACACAATGTAGGGTGCAGTATGATCACCAAAGGATTTCAATAAGGGTTTTAGAACTAGACACGAAAAAGAATCAGAGGACCGAGGTAAAAGATAATCAAGAAACTTCAGTTTCTATCTAACAGGTTCGACACTGACTAATTTGTCAAAGAATTTAACTCAGTAGCAACCGGTTTCCTTTCAAGAAAGATTCAACACTAGCTCAAAAAATTTAAGCAGCACACTAATAGTGCCTTGGTTCCACTCTCAACTTTCAGTTCCTTAACTAGGGAAACCAAAAAAAAAATTTCTCTCGCTCTAATACCACTGTAGGTTCAGGAAAGTATAAAGACTGAAAAATATTCGAGGCAAAAATCAAGTATAAATGCAGATCTATGAAAACAGTAAAGGAACAAAAGATTTTTCGACTGAAACCTCAAGGTTCAGCGATTTATGAGATCGCCTAGTTCCCGTTGAGCATCCATAAAGGAATATGTTCAAATCCACTAAAATCACCAGCCAAATAGCACAAATTTCGATTACAACCGGAACACACAGTTCCAACCACAGCAACTATCAAAACCCTCAACACCGAGTTGAACACACACAAGAGTTCATAAGGATTCAATCCCTCAACAGAATTCTACACAAAGATCTAAGAGAGAATCACACAAATTACAGAGAAAATAACATGAAAAATATAGAAGCTGCACGAGAGAAAGCAACACTCAAACCCTAGACTTCCCTTTTATAAGAGAGATGCCCCATTTTGATCCAACGGCCTTTATTTAGCCAAGTGTCGAAATCTTGTATAAGTTGTTATTTAAAAACTGAAAATGCGTTTTCTCAAAACCAATTTTTCAGCTTCGAGATTCTTCTTCATTCTGGGTCATTGAACCGGGTATGGGCTGAGTCCTTAAATTTGGGTTGGGCTTCCACATAAAACAGCAACCCATTTCTACAATCTCAATCATAAATTCGTTTCACCACTTAAAAGAATGGAAATGAGATCAAATAGGAGCGTGCTTAAATCAGTAAAAGATCTTTCTGAAGCATTCACAAATGGAAATATGAAAGTTGTCAAGGTTGCCTCAATTCTTGGTGGTGATAACATCAATTTTGATGGGAGGGATTGTTATAATCACTTAAGATGTATAAGACGTAATAAGTTAGAAGTTGGTGATGCACAATCTGTCCTCACATATTTTCAAAAGAAGCAAGCTCATAATCTACAATTTTATTATGCAATACAATGTGATGAAGATAGAAGAGCCACTAATTTATTTTGGGTTGATATAAGATCTCGTATGACATATCAATGTTTTGGTGACATTGTCACCTTTGACACAATTTATAGGACAAACAAATATGATATGCCATTCGCTCAATTTACTGATTTGGTTGTGCATTATTACAAGATGAAACAGAGGTAACATTTATGTGGCTATTTCAAACATGGCTTGATGCTATGGGAGAGGGAAATCCTATTTATATCATAACCAATCCAACTATGAAGGCAGCTATTGCTAAGGTTCTTCCATACACACATCATCGTTTATGTCTTGGCACATCACGAAAAAATTTGGTGAAAAATTGTCTGATATATATTACAAGAAGTCAAATTTCAAGAAAGATATGAAAGGTTGCATTCGTTATATGTATAAAGTGGAAGATTTTGAGAAAAATGGGAGTATATAATAGTAGAGTATGATTTGAAAAGTAACAAATGGCTTCAAGACTTACACGGAATACGTGAAAGTTGGGTTCCAGTGTATAAAAGTGGATTATTTTTTGCAGGTATGAATACTACAAGCCATAGTGAAGGTATCAACTCATTTTTGAATAGTTTTGTTACTTCTCAAACTAACATTACAAGATTTTGTTCTCAAAGATGATCGAGCTTTAGCTTCTATTTTGAAAAGGGAGAATGATGAGGACTTTGAATCAGAGCACAAGTATCGTATTGTAAATGATGATGCTTTACTTCTAAAGTATGCATCAAAAGTATATACTAGGAATATTTTTCAAAAGTTCAAAGAAGAATGGAAGAAAGTCAAGGATTATAAGGTTGAAGACGTGAATTATGATTTGGGGACTTACATAGTAAAACATCAAGAAAAAGCAGTTGATAGGTTTCAAGTAAACTTTGATTTGCAAAATCATGAAGGAAAATGTGAATGCCAACATTTCAAGTTTGTTGGAATAATTTGTGGGCATATTCTCAAAGTTTTTATTTGTAAAGATGTTGGTGAACTTCCTTCTCACTTTTATAAATAAAAAAGAGGTGTATGCAAGGAGCTAATAAATTTAGGAATACAAATTCAGAAAAAAAAAATTGTGGTTACTGATGATGAGCAACATACAAAGGCACTGCCGAAACAAATAAGGGATACCAATTATTTATCAAAGCCATTAAAGAAGAATTTGAGCAGATTTATAGCTTAAATATTAAAACAAGGACTCCTGTTGATACTTCTCCAAAGGAATTAAATATTTGTAATGAGGAGAGTTCTCAATTTGTGCTTTCAAATCCCAATGTTTCAATCATTTAAGGATGGAAGAAGGATGAAAATGTCAACAAAAAGATCACAATGGTTCAAAAAGGTTCAAATCAATTGTTGAGTTGGCACGGAAAAATAAAAGGCGTAAATGTGCATTATGCAAAGGATTAGGCCATGACAAGAGGATATGTCCTAAGAACCCAAAGAAAAATGGAAATGATCTAATCAATGTCTAAATAATCGTAACATGCAAGTCTTCTTACGTTTTACTTATTTTACTTGATTTTTATTAATATGTAATTTTTATGCGTAGTACTACCTGTTATTATTTTTTCATGTAGAGTTCAAATTCGGACTTATCTATCAATTTCAAGTTGGGCAAAAATTACTTACGAAGATTTAAGTTTATGCATTCTGCCACTCTCCAGTTGACTGTGAAAAAGAAACGTTTGTTTTTTCCTTCTTTAATTTAGTCTTTCTAAATCGGGTTGGATAGTAAACCTTGTTGGTTTAATTAATTTTAGTCTTTATTTTAATCTTTCTAGAACTGATCAGCAAAGTCCTGTTGTCGTGAAAGAATTGTTTTATTGCTCAATAGAATTAATATTTTATTGATTTTAGTGATCAATCAGTGTAAACCAAGATATGCAGTGCACAACTGCACCATGAAATTCGCATGGTAAACCAAAAAGAGTGCTCTCATTTTTTCCCGAGTTCTTGCATCTAATAGTATCCTGTCCCAACTGCTTTAATGAGATATTCATGACTTGTAAAAAATTGATTCGATTAAGGGTGCAACTAATTTTGCGAGATTCCATCTGTCTTCGTAAAAAAATTTAGCTACTTGAGCATAAGAATGATCTGAGGGTGGACGTTCCGTTGCAAGAGAAATGCAGGAGATACTAGAGAGATACTCAACATACCCTGCAACCAGAGTCCAATGCAGTCTAGACAGTTCCACTTTCAATTGGTATCACAGAAACAAGCTGATCACTAAGGGAGAATTTGATATTGCAACCGTGATGAATTTCAAAATAGGGTTTGAAGGATGTAGCAATTCGCTGTACTCTTCGTCATCTCCACTGCTATAACAAATAAATTCAGAAGCCATGACTATATGCAAACATTATAGCTGACTACCAGTTAGAAACTGAAGCCTGTGAGCATAATAGCCAGATTCTTAGCGCTTTCGATGTCTCAAATAACTGTCAAACTACAAACAACCTTAAATGTTGCCACCGTATAACCGTCGTTTGACACAGCACTTTCGGTAACGTTATCAATCAAATTTTTAACAGTTTTATTAAATTCTAATTTGGATTTTTATTAGTTTTCTGTGTTAGTATATCAGTCCCTTTTCTCTACAACAACTATATATTTTTTTCTTCAATAGTTTTTCTGTGATTAATTGGAATGAGAAAAGAAAATTGCTGCCTGGAAGAAATAATTCTTCTTGAGGAGGACAGGATTCAGTGAGAGAAAATGAATGTGTTGACACACTAAAAATGCAGCCCAATTGAGGAATTCCCAAATCAAATAGCCCAAGAAATGAAGCCCAATTAAGGAATTCAAGATAAAGGCCCAGACAGGGATATTAATGAATGCAGTGGAAGCCCACGAATACAGTAACATCATCACCCAAACTTGCAAGACGCCCAAAATCTGAGCGAATGGAGTGCCTTACAGTCGCCCAGAGCGATGACCCTGTTTTCACCCATACCTTCGAATCGCCCACGATCTTAGCAAATATAAAATGTTATGGTTATCCAGAAATGCAGTTATTGACTAACCATATCACATTCCACGATTCAAGGAACCCAGTTGAAGGCGGTTGAACGACAAAAAGTAGTGACAGCAGTTAGAGACGGCAATTCCACGACAAGTTAGCTACCATAAAGAAAGTGGGCGGTTATGAAGCAATCAAGTAGTTTCCAAGCAGTTTGTCACAAAGGAATCATTAAGGGAATATAAAAGGAAGAGAAGACATAGAGAAGAGAGACCCCGAATCAAACACTCTCAAACAGAGAATATGTAATTTCAATTTTCTTAGTTTAAATTTAAACATTTCTTTTAGTACTCGTGTGCTTGCGCCCCTTGGAGGCATTCTGTTTAGTTCCAATTGTAAATTATCGTCAATAAAACACCCATTTCTAGGATTTTGTTTCAAGAGGTTTGTTCCTTACACAATCGTCTGATCCCTTTTTAATTGTTAGCGACTACTTGCGCGAAACAATTTGGCACGCCCAGTGGGACCTTGGTGTTTGGTATTGAAAATACGAAAGGTGAAACAATATGCCTCACAAATCTAATAAGAAAGCAGTAAGTCAGGGAGGAGTCCAGTCTGTGATCGAGCGATATAAGAAGCAGCATAGCTCTCCACGAACAGAGGGACAGAGTCACAACAGTCACAGTCATTACGAACTAATGACAAAGTTGAGTCCTCGAACCATGCGTGCATTACTTGGAGAACTCACACAGGATGTCGTTGAACAGGTAAATCTACAAAATATTCATAATATGGAAAGATTTATCCAGAATGAGAATGCACATTATGACAACATGGCCAAACAACTGAATACTTTGAATGATATAATGAATAAGTTAGTAGGCCAAATTTGTCAGCCAGTTGTGCCTCTTGCAAATCACTTTCAAGCTAGGACAATCGTGAGACATAATCCCCCAGTCCTAAGTCCAAGTCAAGGGATAGAACCACCTTTTGGTCCCTCTACTTCAAACCAGGGGGATGGTGTAAGGCAAAATCAGAATAATGGTAATGGTACATCTAACTTGGGGGGTAACCTAAATATAAGAGACAATGTCCTAAATAATAGACAGAATACCCCACGTGTCAATGATGGAATAAATATTCAGGCTAATGGCAACAATGTCCCAAATCATGGCAACTTTGTTGCCAACCAAGGACCAAACTCAGGCCTTAGGTAAATCAACCGACCTACCAACCTGTAGGAATTCCATATGACCTTAACGTCATGTTGAGAAACCAAATTATGGAAATAGTATATGATCAAGTGGCCTTTGGGGTACTTCCTGTCATTAGGCCGACTTACACAAAGTCATACCCTAATTGGGTAGACCAAACATATCTATGGCTTAGAGGGTATAAAGTGCCAGAATTCTCATTATTTACCGGTTTAGGAGAGGTGTCTACTCTAGAACACATAGGGCGATTCACACTGCAAAGTGGTGAAGTAACGGACTACCATAAAATGAGGTTGTTCCCTAATTCATTAACAGGAGTAACTTTCTCCTGGTTCATCAATTTGCCAGCGAACTTTGTTCAAACGTGACAACAATTGGAGCAGTTGTTCCATGCTCAGTTTTATAAGACTGAGTCTGAAGTTACTTTGGCCGATTTGTCGAGTCTGCGTCAAATGCCAAACGAATGGGCAGAAGGTTTCTTTCAAAGGTTCAAGATAGCAAGAAGTAAATGTTTTGTACCTTTGCCCGAAAAGGAGTTTGTAAAAATCGCTCAAAATTGTCTAAGTTTTGATTTGAAAAAGAAATTCTAAGATAAGGAATTTCCTGATCTTTTTCAATTGAGCGCAAACGTGATTAGGTATGAACGATTAATACGAGAATAAGAGCAAATGAAAAACTCTAGCAAGGAGACTTATTATAGAGGCCCAAACTTTGATGTCCATACCATTAATGATGAATATTACGATCAAGTCGAAATGTGTTTGGCCGAATTAATTAAAGGAGATACGTATACTTGTCCTATAACGGCTAAGCCTAGACCGTCGGGCAAAGATGAGCCTATAAAAGATGAAAATAAAAAGGCTAGAACGTTGTCGTTCGATGTAACCAAACCTGACCTTATATTTGATAAATTATATAAAGATAAATAGATAAAGCTGAGCGATAAACATAAATTGCCAAGCCCTGAACAAGTTAAGGGTAAAAAATATTGTAAGTGACATAATGCATGGTCATATTTGACTAACAACTGTTTGATTTTTCGCCATGTGTTACAGGACGCCATTGAATCAGGACGAATTACGTTCGAAGATAAGACGAAGATGGCAGTGGATGAAAACCCTTTTCCACAGCCACTTGGGGTGAACATGGTGACCACTGGTTTCAAAAACAAGTTGCCAAAATTCAAGTTGGTTATAGATGACGGGGAAGAGGACCCTAGGCCACATCCCAGTATCTTTGAACATATCAAAGAGAAGGAGCCCAAAAAGGATGAAGACGTCCTATGTACAAGATGCAAAAGAGAAGTGAGTGTAAATACAGAGAAACTAGGGATATGGCAGCATCACCATCGCCCTAGTTTTTTTCCAAACGCTTAGCCTGGTAGAGGACGAGGTACATCATTCTATACGGAACCGCCTTTTAAGAGGCAGTTTAGGCCAATAAATAATGGGAGAACATTCAGGCCACAACCTCGCCAACCAAATGTATGGCATTCGTTCCAGTATAACGCAAGAAGGGTGATACCCTTCAACGAGATGACTAGAACCCAACAAAGGCATTTTCAACGGAACTATGGACGAATGATGAGGTAACAACAGGGAATGCCACGCCCTAAGGCACCTAAATTACTCAAGGTGGCCAATCAAAATGTTCTTGAAGACAGTGAAGAGACTGGTACAAGCGAATCGATGGAAGAATTGCCAGAAAGTTCTTCTGGGAGATCGAAGTTTGAACGAGACAGAAGGGATGGAGAAGATCCAGATCAGTCCCTTACTATTCAGTTCGGTACGTTACCTCCTGTCATGGTTAATAATTACTTACTAGCCAATGAGTTCAAGAACAAAGAGAAAGAAGAAGAAGAAAGGGATGATAACGAAGAAGAAGCATGTGTGCTGGAATGTGAAGAAGGCCAAACTTCTAGAGGGACCCGTGATGATAAAGGGGATGATGGTATGATGGACATCGAAGAGGAAATTGATCTGGAAGCAGAAAGAAGAAAGAGAGGGATATCGTATAATACTCTGTTGAAGCAACTACATCGAGAGGGGGTTCGTGAAGTGGACTTGTTGGGGGAATCGTCTGGGCGTTCTTTCGATTATTACGTGCTGTAC